TGGTTACTGTGAATATCTACAGTACATTGTTGGTTACTGTGATCTTCTACAGTACATTGATGGTTACTGTGAATATCTACAGTACATTGTTGGTTACTGTGAATATCTACAGTACATTGTTGGTTACTGTGATCTTCTACAGTACATTGTTTGTTACTGTGAATATCTACAGTACATTGTAGGTTACTGTGATCTTCTACAGTACATTGTTGGTTACTGTGATTTTATACAGTACATTGTTGGTTACTGTGATTTTATACAGTTGGGACGTTACTACTGCTATTTCTACAGTAACTCCAGAGTTGCTGTAATTTTTGGTTCGAAACACGGTATTATAATCTAAAATGGTTTACAGTAATTTACTGTGCACAACCACTGTAAATAACTGTGGATTTCACAGCCATTTTTTACAGTGTGGCTAAACTCTCACATTCTTGTATACACTGCAAAAACAGTTTACTCTGTTTTACTTGCCTTCAAGAATTAGATTTGATAGGGCCAGACTATTTTTGATCTGATTCAAAAATTGAGTTTAAGAAAAATGGCAGAATATTGAGTACCAAAGGCAGACTCAAAAGTGACACATTTGGGGAAATCCTTGAAATGTAATGATTTTTCAAAATAGATCAAAGAGCTTGTGAAGGGTAACGTTATTTATGGTTAATACGATGACATCTTAGAGCCAATTGAGAAAAGTTCATTCAAGTCAAGTCATGTGACAAAAACAGAAGACATATCGTGTGGGAGTTCCTGGAAAAATAATACATTGTCAAGTGGTGTATTGTCAAATCAGTTCACACATCCTGACACGCACAGAGGTGTGTTCTATTTGAACGTCATCAAGGTGTTTGTTTGTGAGTAAGAAACAAGCCCTAAGAGAGGCTGAAGCAGGGAACAAGTGGCGAAAGAGAAAAGCCTCTTTTGGTTTTGTCCTGTCAAAGTCGGGCTGAATATTAACTAAGTGGATTGCGATTGAGTGAAGAATGCTTTGCCTTTGTTGAGACCTTTGCAGTGATGTCACCAGTACTTTCCCTGGCACCACCTGGCCAGGAGACGCCAGGCGGTTTATTGCAGCACTGAAGCTGTTGCAATGTAGCCTGATTAGTCACCTGACTGTTTTTTTAAAGGCCTTTCAATACAAAAGACAGGCTTCAGTCAGCAGTGCCATAAAGATTAGCTGCTTAGTGAGCTGTGTAAACACACCGACAAATCTGTGTGTTTGTATGAGCTGCATGCAGGAATGTGTGTGGGTGTCGGTGTCTGATTTTTCTTGTATATATTCTGTGTGATTTAAGGAAAAAAATGGCATGAATAAATAATAAAGACAGATAACTTTAAGTGATTAAAAATAGAGACAGTGAGCCGGGTTTGCAAATGTGTGTGTAGAAAGTGAGAGAGGGTGGTGAAAGAAATCCCAAATAGGAAAATGTTGGAAAAAGACTCAGTGGGAATTAAAGGAGGACTGGTGGCAGAACCCACAGCGCTGATGTTAGCTGTCTGATCCACTGAGAGACAGTTGGCAGCAGACGGTCTACCAGCCGTCCCCTGCAAGCTGGGTCTGCAGTCACACACACACACACACACACACACACACACACACACACACACACACACACACACACACACACACACACCAAAGTGTACCCTGTAAAAGTAACAAATGTACTGAGCGCTCCATTCCACGTGATCCAATTATTCACAGTTACAGCACATTTGGGCTGAAGCTAATCTCATAACTAAATGGTAGGCGCCTCTTGAAGAAAAACAGATCTTCCAAACAACTTTAAAGAATTTAAGTTAGTAACTTTACTGTTTCTAAGAAGAAAATATGGCCAATAATGTTTGCAATTATGCACTTAACACATGTATTGCCTCAATGATTCAGTGTTTGGGTTATCACACTGCCAAGGCACAC